TTGTGCATAAACCATACCTATGGGTCATAGGTTAGGTTAGGTTAGGACCGTTAGGTTATAGGCTATGGGTACTTAAACCTAGGTAAGTAGTTCAGTAGTTGTACTATAAAAAGCCATAAAAGAGAAAAGTATAAAGTAACTTCAGATATTTGTGTTTTTTTTATTTCTTAAAATATTGGTGTTAAACTGTTAACATGACAATATGTATAATATATAATAAATATAAATTATACCTGTATAATAATAATAAAATAATACTATATTACATTATACCTTTAGGCTTTAGTGATCAATCATCCAAATGTATTTTATATAAGCAACAACTTTTTTTTGAACTGAAACTTTGTCCGGGAACCTAAAATCAATTAATAATATAATCAAATATGAAGTAGGTACAGTAGATAAGCCTTGTCCAGGGCCCTGTGCCCAGAGGGATTGAAAATCATCCACCACCTCTCAAGCATAGGTATTTTTCCGAAGTATGATTGTCATATGCTTCAGATTTCTACACCATATGATTCTATTTGATATTTGTTATTTTATTAATATGAAGATTGATGACCAAAATAGTGTTTAAAGTTCCCCTCAAGTTAAATTAATCATAAAATTAAAACAATCCCGGTCACTGGTTTTAATCACCTGAGTAGGTACCTAGGTATCTGTTATTTCATATTAATTAATTGTAAGTAAATAAATAAAATATTAAATAATACTGTGATTTAAATAATGCTCATCTTAATTGTTGTTTATTGTAAAACACACACTTACCTTGATTTTTAACACAGTAATTTGGGTTGTTTTTTGATAAAATTATAAAATTATTGTATCCATTCATAATAACTATTTTATTATATATAATCAATGCAGCTCTATATATATATATTTATTATCCATGAGTCAACAAATCCATGTGAACTTTGTAAAATCCTTAATGCATCTTGCATGGTGGTAAGAAGGTATCATGAATATTTATAGTCGCTAGCTATCACAGCTGTAGCTGTATGTTGCTGCTATTTGATTATGGACCAAGGACTTCTTTTATATTTAGATATTCAAAATTAAAACAATAACTAGGTGTAGGTACCAATGATTTTAAAAGAAATATAGATAAACCTACTATACAAATAATAAGTAAACTATAATAGTAATTAAACATCTCAATAATTATTTGAAAATTTGCCATGATTTATTTTAAATAGGCACATATTTACAACAGCACATCACACTTATTTTTGGATTGTAATTATAAGGATGCAATTCGTCTAAAAATACCAATAATGAAAGATAAAGTTAATGAATATTAAATAATGATAACCATTATGCATAAATAATATAACAAAATAGTAGTTGTAATTTGTTGTTTATTTCAATAGTATCCTAAAAAATAAAATATAAGTAATGCCACTTGAACATATTGGTATTATCACTGATTTATTCAGAGTTGATTAAGTGAGAATAGTATATTAGCTTTATTATAAGATAAATAAAAAAATAGGTACCTAATAAAAAAAAAATATAGTAATTTATATATTTTTTGATAAAATATATAATAAATATTAAGAAACCTTTATATTAACAGCAAGTATGGTTTAAAAAAATACGAATTTTATTTCTTTGGTGGATGTGTTCCTTTAACAGTAGTTCTATGTAGTACTCTGAGGCCAACTTCACTTCTGGGTGCCTGTGTACTTGAATGAGCAAAATGTCCAACAGCTAAGTTGTCAGATATAATGAAATCGCCTGGTTCCCACTAAACAAAAAAAATTAAATGAGTATAATATATTATAAACAATGATGTTTTAAAATAGTTATCCAGATAAAAATTATTATCTTTTTTGTTTAGTAACATTTACATGTATTATAAAATTATTGAATCAATGTTACAAAAATTTCAGTATGAATAAATAAAATACATCATATTTGAAATAAATAAATATTATATTATTTAACTATGAAAATTGTTTTCCTTTTTTTTTTTTTTTTGAGGAACAATTTCAACAATAAAACAATTTAACAATATAAACTAGGAGTCAACATTATTACTATTTGTGGGGGGCCATAATGCCATATTACATAACAAAAGTCAATATGGCCAAATAAATGGTTCTAATTTATATTATAGGTAGGTATTTGGTTTTAAATAGATTTTATTGTTTTTTTATAATACTCTAAAACTACAATAATGAATAATTTAAAAAAATATGTTAAAAATCAGTAATCCCCCTTTAAAATTATAATATTTTTTTAAATTCAAACTAAAAACAATACCTTATGTATATATATATACTTTCCATTATCTTGATTTATTTTACTCTCTATTGAATTTAAAAGTGCTTCATATTCTTCATGGCTAGCAGTTGTTTCAGATGGAAGTTTATAGTTCCAAATAAAACCAGTTGTCATTCCCAAATGAAAACACAATACCTATAGTTATGACTTATGGTTGTTATAATGTTATAATTTATAACAAATAATAAATATCATAATTTCAAGAAAGTTATTAATTATACATACTGGTTTGCCTGTTAGAGGATGACTATATACCAGTGGATGGATAGGCGATGATCTTCTATCACTGACCATCCAAGCTTTATTCCACGTGTCATATGTATCTTTATCCAAACTTTCAATTAATTCGGTGAGTGGAACAAATAATGTATGTCCTTCTTTAGGTACTGACACCATATGATATAAAGAATAACTAAATGGTGCTGGTTGGAATGTTCCATCTATGTGCCAACCTGATCTCCCAACACCTTATATAGTAAATAATAACAATAATTACAAGATTATGCTATCTCTTTTGATATTAATTTAGTTAGATGAACACAGATTTTGAATACTCTTGTTTAAAATAACTTTTTTGATAATTTGTRGCTAAATTTTGAAAAACAAAACAATCTTTTTTACTATTAATAATACCAATACTGAAGATCTGTTAATTCTATGAACACTCTAATATATTAACATACTTACATTCTAACAGTAATTAATTATTATGCTAGTTTTTTTTAAATTTTTTTTTTTTATTGAAGATAAAAGTTTATATAAAATCTATACATACAGTGTATAATAAGTAAGTGTGGTGACTTAAAAATAAAAATAATAACATTAATTACATAGAAGGAAGGCTCCCAGCAGTGCCACCTAATTGATTATGCTAGTTACTCTAACATTTAGAAGTTTCCTTCAAATATGTAGTTCAATGATATGTTTATTTTATTACAGTCTACAGATGAGAATTAAGATTTAGGTATGTGTATAATATTTATTGTATAACTTTAAGTTATTATGGGAGTACAATGTTTATGAAATTATAGTTAAGTTGTACTAATGTCTAATAGATATCTAACAAAGGCAAAAAATATTCAAGATTTAATTAAGCTACTTGTGTAAAAAGTGTACCTATATTGTTAATAATCATAGATAAATATACCTGTACATCCTTCATTTTTATCATTAGATACTCGAAACACATCAAGATGAGGCGATTTCGGATGCCTGTAGAATGTTGATTCTAATTCTCCAAACCAACGACTGATCTCAACATGCCTATCACCACTTATGATTCCTTGATCTTTAAATATTAACATTCTATGTTCAGTGACATCTTTCTGTATTTGTTTAATAACTGTAAAATTAAGGTACAGAATAAAAATTATTAAATAATGCCTATAAATAAACTAAAAGTTGACTATACAGGTACCCAAGTAGATATATTAATTTACTGTCTAAAAAGTATAACTAATGATACATTCCTATTAGTGAATATAAGAAATAAACATTACTTTCAGGTCTATTTTCAGTTTTTAAGTCAATTCCTCGCACTTCACAACCAATTGGCTTTAAAATTTTTTCCATCTTATTAAATATATTTCTAGACATTAATTAGAGAACAGACTAATTATTATCATAAGCTAAAAATCAAAATATTATGCAGTTAAAAAAACTTTTATGTTAAAATATATTACTAACTATTTATCAGGTGGAACTACCTATGAACATTAAAAAAAAAACAATCTTGAATCTTACTTTTTATCCCTACTAATAAGTAATAATTATCTATAATTATTATTATTATACATGTCGTTCATAAGTTCATAACTACAAATTATAACACTGTAGATCATTATTAATTATTATTATAATTAATTTTTACAAGTCAATATTTTGAGTCGTTTACATTAACGATATCACGAATCGCGATCACAGAATTATCAATAAAATATTCTGTTTAACAAGTGATAATACTTATCGAATATACTTTGTAAACTGAAAAACAATCCTATTTCCTCCAAAAAATGAAAGAGTTTATCAAATATATTAGTATATTACCTATTAATTATTTTATTACTATGAATTACAATAAGACTATTACATTGCTATATAGCTATATAATGTATCTGTAATAGTAATACTTTAAATAATTACTCCAAGATTATTATTCAAATTATAATAGCTTATAGCTGTATAATAGATATATTGGTATATACCCAACGAGTAGCGCTAAACTCATATATATCATGTAAAGCACTAAAGCAATATATTCACTTCTTAAATGGGTGGGTAGGTATAGTCGAGTTTTAAGAACTAAGAAGTAGCGGTTATTAGGTTAACAAAGTTAAATCAGGTGTTCTAATTATTCTATATATAATTTTTACATAATTTTAGAATTTTTAAACAATCCTAGATTTCACTTCACAATAAAATGTTGAGTTCCACTGTACCCAACTACAGAACACAGATGTACATAGGTATGAACCTAAGCCACTAAGGTATAGCCATAGTATTATAGTTCAATGTGCCAACCACACCCATTTAGGAATTTTAATGTTCTTCTATACCAAATTAGCACGTACTTTGCATTAAGTACATTTATCATTTGCACAAATTCATTTAGAAATTACAAGGCCGAATAAAAACGTTATGAATTTTGTAAATTTTGTTGCATATATCCTTTATTTGATCATCACGGAATTAGCACACATTTCCACCACGATCTTCACTCAAATTGTCACTTATCGACTGACTAATATCCAAAATGTTTGGAGTTAAAAAAATACTTTTAAATTACAACAATTTGCCAACTACATGTTTAAATGAAAGATTCATAACATTTTTAATTTGTATAAGTACCTAACTAAAACCAGAAAATGTAACACACAGTTTTCCTAACAATAATAAAGAGCCTATACACTCTATATACCTACTCTATTTTATCAGTTTTCAACCATGCCTATATGATTTAGGACTTAGGTRGGTAGTTTTTATTGTTTCAATTTTCCAACTTAATGGGTTTTATTCTATTTAAATTTATGTAGATACCTACCAAATAACTGTGTACATTACTAAATGTTAAACCTACGCCAAGTTTGAAAGTTATTGTTATATTTCTTACCTTAATTTTGCTTCACTCTAGTTATTCATGTTTTCTAATTAACTTTATAACTCAACAACTTCAAGTATTCATCAAAATAACTGCATGTTTTCAGTTAAATCGAAAAATAATAATTAGGTAAWGTGAAGTTTATAATTTATACTTATATATTATAATCTAAACAGATTAGTTAATTATTTATTATTTATTTGTTTAAACTCGCAATATAGCAACATTCAACACTAATATATTATATACCTACAATATTTTTAGAAACAAATGAATAAAACAAATATATTATTTTATTTAATAATATTGTTAATACAAACATTTAATAATMTAACTTACAATAGTACCTATTAGCACCGAATACGTACTTTAGGCAGTCCAATTGAACAGCTTTCAAAATTGGATGGGTGGGTAAAATAATTGAGTAATACTATACTTCTTAATTTTGCTTGGCTATAATTTTATTAAACACAAGAATGTCATTAAATTATGTACCTATATATAATTAGTTAAGCCTTTTTCTCAGTCGGTTGAAAGGGTGGGTAGTTCAATCTCAATCAAATTATTTGAACTACCAGTCTGAATTTCATTCAGCGCCATTGTCTTACATCATCAGCCATCAGATATTAAAGTAGATACCTACCTATAGCCCTATAGGCTAAAGCTAACATGCAATATAATTTCACAATCATAAAATTTAATTTATAAATATAAAAAATAAAATAAGGTTAGATAGTATAGGCTTATTTAAGATGTTATGTTATGAGTTATAACAAAAACAGGCAAATCTTTTCACTGTAGATATTAAATTTCAAACGTATCTACTTCGACATTGAATAAGACATAGTAATCAACGTTTCGAATGTTAACGAAAATGTAAATACATCATTGTCAAATTTCAAATATAAGTCATAACCATTTTTATTTGCTAATAATACGTAATAGGTAACTATAGGTTATATGAAGTTATAAGATAGATTATTTTTTTATAGGATATTTTTTAATGTTTAATACTATGGGTTTTTGGGAAAGTGGTTACAAAGAAAAATGATTATAAATACTAATGAAAATGAATATTCTGATAGTTTATGAATCATTTTTTAAACATCAATGTATATGATGGTCGATGATCAGCTATTTAATTACTAATTTACCAATTTATATTAGATAGTATTGTTATTACCATTGAGCATTGATTTTAAAATATAGAATATTGAATAGGTATATCATAAAATCAATGTCATTACTCATTAGTTTTTTACTATTTAGTACATTTTATTATAGCCTTATAGGTATTCTATTACATGCGGTACAATTTTATCACCCTCCTCCGTAGAACAGTAAAGCAAGAGACATCTAGCGGTCAGATGCACTTGCCTGTTATCGTTAAAATTAAAATCAACTTACGGTCATCCGGTCTACCACGCGACGGTTCCGGTAGAATATAATGTATATGTCATAGCAGTGGCGCGACTAGGATTAATTTTCGGGAGGGGTTATTCCTATAAAAAATTAATTAACAAAAAAATKTCTCCGCTTTTAAATGTATAACTTTTAAAAATATTTCAGGAGGAGAGGGTTTGAGGGTCACAACCCTCAATCCCCTACTCTGGTTGCGCCACTGAGTCATAAACTCATTATAGATATATTATAGTCACTATCCACCTAGACATTTAATTAAATGCATGTTTCAAGTCAAAAAAATATTTAAAATGAAACATTTTGTTTTGTTAAATGTCACTGTCAAGCGAGAAAGTAGCAATTCCAAACCGGTCGGTGTTCGTGTTTTTAAAAAATGTTAAATGTTCCAAAAAATGACAACAAACAATAACATGTAATGACTAAAAATAAACAACAATTTGTGATTGTAATACAATTTTTTATTCATTTTTTATACTCATACCGATGGACACGAAATWAAAAATAGTTCATTTACAAACATATGTTTACATTTTTGTTTTTTTTGTTTACATATATTTTACATTTTTACTTAATCATAAATAGTAATTTTTTTTATAAAATAACAATAAATAATTAATAGAAAATATAATTAAATGTTTAAAACAATACTAAATGTTTMATATAATCATATAACATGAAATATCAAATAGGTATTTAGTGAAATGTCTGATTTGACCATATTCCTACGACGTATACAAAACAACTATTTAGTCGATACGTCATTTTTGTGTGTGGGTAATACGCGCGAAGTGTGGCAGCCGGCAGGCATGCAATGGAACCGAGGGAAATCGGAACTGTGTGTTCAAAGGCAACTATCGGAACTGTGTAGTCCGAGCCAAAATCGAGTTTATGCCTGTCTTCTTGAACTAGTTTAACTATGATCTCCCTTAAAACCTTTTTATTTGATGACATTTTGATTGGAATTTTTACGAGTTTTGTCAACGTTTAAATGTTAAATATGAATGAGAAATAATTTTTACTATATTTTCGAAATTGCTTCAAAATAAAAGAATGAACAGCATTAATAACTTTAATTAATTTTTTTTATTTATTTATGTTGTAAGAACAACATTAATTACTTTATTATTATTATTTTWCTTATRAAGATCCTTGTATTAAATTGTTTTTTATTCGCAAACAAAAAATTGTTTCAATATATAAGCTTAATTATATAATGAAAAAAAAAACGGAAAAGTCTCTCTGCAGTTAAGAAGATGATTGAAGGTGTTGATAATGTAGTATAAGATAATTAGTTAGTTACTGTAATAGTGTAATGTGAGGAATGAGGATTCACAATCATTTGAGGCCCAAGCCCTCTTTCAAATTATTTATTAGGGCATAAGGTCACGCCCCCTTACCGTGCCATAAGATTGAAGTATGATGTTTAATAAAGGATATAGCCAATATAGGTATTTATTTAATCTTTACAGTTACAGTATACAGCTTAATGTCGGTTATTGGATTAATATAAAAAAAAGCTCCCGTKTAGTTTTATTAATATTTAATGAATTTATTCGTATAGGCATAGAAAAACAAATATTATTATGTATAACAAATAATTTTTTTTTTAAAACAAAGTAAACCTATTATTTTCAATTTTTTTAAATATTAAAATTTAAATGTATTATTAAATACGGATTATGAGATGGTTGGCCTTATTGGCACTGAATTATTGAAGATGATGATAACGTWAAGTTAGTATTAGTTACACAATAATGCCCGATAAAATATAAATAATCAAAAATAACGGTTTCATCTTTCATGGTTTTTTTGTGAATGTTCAAATTTACTTATTGTGCTGTCAAACACGGATTGTAAATAATAAAATAAAAATGTTCACGCCTCCCTTAGGAGAATGGGCGTGCTCCTCAGGTTGATATCCATTGCTGTAATTCGAATTTAATCATAAATCATTATTTATCACCTATGTCATCCTTGTCTTATACGATATATACAAATACTTACGAAAAACGATTTTTGCGTGGAAATAGCTTACCGGCCTATATGTATAGGTACTAATAAATAACTAACGGTAATTGTAATACCTATTATATTAATATTAAATAACTTTATATAGGTATTATGGTTTTAATTTATTTTTATATAAGTAATACGGTAAGCTAACCAATTTTTGCCAAAAATATGTTGTAATATATACAGGGTGTAACAGAAAGACCTTACTAAAAAAATTATGCCAATTTATTGTATGACAACATTTTTTAATATTATATGATAAATAAATAACTTAAGAAATATACTCATGTCAGCAAATTCTCTAAAATCATATTTTTTTTAAAGTTATTGCGTTCCAAACTAATT